AAATAGTGTGGCCAGCAGGACAAGGGAGGTGATCGTCCCCCTGTATTCAGCACTGGTGAGGCTGCACCTTGAGTGCTGTGTTCAGTTTTGGGCCCCTCAATACAAGAAGGACATTGAGGTGCTGGAGCATGTCCAGAGAAGGACAGCGAAGCTGGTGAAGGGTCTGGAGCACAAGTCTTATGAGGGGCAGCTGAGGGAACTGGGGTTGTTTAGCCTGGGGAAAAGGAGGCTGAGGGGAGACCTTATCACTCTCTACAACTACCTGAAAGGAGGGTGTAGTGAAGTGGATATTGGTCTCTTCTCCCAAGTAACAAGTGATAGGACAAGAGGAAATGGCCTCAAGTTGTGCCAGGGGAGGTTTAGGTTGGATATTAGGGAAAATTTCTTCACCGAAAGGGTTGTTAAGCATTGGAACGGGCTGCCCAGGGAAGTGGTGGAGTCACCATCCCTGGAGGTATTTAAAAGACATGTAGATGTGGTGCTTAGGGACATGGTTTAGTGGTGGACTTGGCAGTGTTAGGTTTACAGTTGGACTCAATCTTAATGGTCTTTTCCAGCCTAAATGATTCTATGATTCTGAATTACATAATTGTTCATGTGGGCAGCCAAAACTACATTATTATTTGTATTTAAAACAGCATCACAGCATATGCTTGGGCATCCATCCTCTGAAATACTGCTGTGTTACCTTTCCAACATGGAAAAGTTTTATTCAATATGAAGCATTAGAAATTAGGAACCTAACTAAATTTCTGGAACAATAGCTTTGAGGGACTAAGGAAACATCTTTCCATCTTGATGTCCCAGACACTACAATATGAAGGAGTGCTATATTTCAAAAATAGAGCAAATGGAATCATCAAAAGTATGTCAATACTGAGGGCAGCCTGGAGAGCCAATAACTTACAAGGCACATTGCTGCTGCTAATGATTTGCAGCTACAGTGAATTTGTTTTGAAACTGTGGAACAAATTTTGTTAGACATCCTCAGCTTGCAGGTTGATTTCATGCTTTTTGTTGCGTTTTGTGGTTAAGAGGTGTTGAATAACTGAGGCTGGACGTGTAAATCAGGATTTTTGTTCTGTCACTGCACAGTGATGCAAATGCACCTGAAGTAAACTTGTAAAAATATATTTTTTTTAATGTGATGTTAGTGCAGTCATTTACAAAAGAACTTCATGGGTATTTCCATCTGAACAAACTTGGCCAAAGAAATTAAACTGGATTAAAATGCTATTACTGTAGACAAGTTGTCTGCATCCAGCAGCAATTTCATTAAAAATGTGTTGGAATTACACAGTTCTGAGCACTGAAAATATTTGACTTCCTTCAAGATGGCAGCTTGCATGGAATAAATCAGCACTTTTAAATTACATTTATTCTGTTGAACAAGCTGAATTTGAAGGCTAGAGGTGACCGTCACATATTTAGCAAAGCATTTTGGTAAAGGAAAACTTAGTGGCTGAAATCAACTGTAGGTGCATTTTTCCCCTGAGGTATTTACACAGGAGCTGTGCATGGGTAGACGACTGAAACAGAATAGATTGTAGCTCTAATTATTGTAAGAGAGATGGTAGGTTCTGAGAGGAGGCCTGATATATTCCTCCCACGGGAGAGCACTCTTGCCAGTATAATGCACTGAAGAGTTTCCTTTCTCTAATTAGTTCTGTGTCATTAGCCTTCCTTCTACTCCTAGGATAGATGGGTGCACAAAATAGCATAAGGTGATTTAGTTTCTTTTTATGTGCATCTAAGGAGTCGTACTCTCACGTGTCTAAAAGAGTGCTTTTAAATTTTAAAAATGCGTTGGCACAGAAAATGAATAAGAACATGCCCTGGGGAAGAATTCAAACATCTCTTCTGCTTTTGTGGTTGTACCTGCGCTGTGTGACACCTTAGCTTACAACATAATTTCTTTGTTTCACTGGGGGGAGGAGAACAGTGGCAACTTCTCTCCTGACTCTTGTTTAATTCATGATTATTTAAAATATGTAAAACATTAGAAAATAGCTCTGGTAAAATAGTTACTTGAGCTTGCTTTTTGGACTAGGATTAGGAAGGACTACTACACTGTCTTTTTGACCTTGTATGTTCTATGCAGAGCATACTTACATGTGTTCATAGTAGGTCTTATGATACTGAACATTTACTGTAAATAAACTTGAAGAGCATGGGGGGGGGGGGGTTCTGGTTTTGGGGGGTGACTACTGTTGCTGTTTGCCTCATTGTGCAGTGGCTTGCACGAGGCTGTGGCTGATGGCTGTCCTGGTTGTGGCCAAGGTGGGCAGTAGTTCCCTAGGGTTTTAGCCCTCCCTGCTCAGCTAGAAACGCTTTGCATCTGTTGGGGTTTCTTGGAGCAAAGCCTTGGCTCAGCTGTCTTCCTCAGGGATGTACAAAGGAGAGGAGTGGAAGAGCATGTGAACTGGTCTGTGTGCTTTGAACAGAAGCTATACTGTACATGTCCTACAACAAAAAATGCCCTTTGGAGGCTTTTAAAGCTGTGCTAGAACTATTTAAATTTATTTTGGAAATAAGAAATTGACTTGTATTGAGAGTAACTGAAAAAGGAAAAACAGTAGTGTGGGAAAAAAACCGGGGAGCTAAGGAAAGTGGTGGGAGAAGAGCCTGTTTCTCTGTGATCAGTTTGGGGAGCTGGAAAGAGGAGGTTGGCTGCTGCCATGAGATAGGGACTAACATCCAACATGGCTTGAAATTGAAATGTCAAAAAGTGTGCCCAATCCTACAGCTTCTCCTTGTGGGAGATCTGGATTTGGAGTCTTGATCTGGGCCCATCACTGAAATTCTTGAGTGATCAAGAGGGGGCACTTTAGTACAAAGTGTAAAATTATTTGACAGAGATGGTTTCTGCATTCTTAGAAATGGAATTGTCTCATGTCTTCTGCTCTGCTTTTGTGTGACAGTTGCTACTGAAGCTATGGGATGTGCACTTGCCTTCCAGTCTTACAAGCTTTTAGATAACTGAATTATTTAAGGTATTTTTTCCTTCTCAAAGAAGGAGAACACATGAGAGAAATGAGCTGAGATAAAGAATTAGGTCAAGTCTCTTCCCCTACTAACCAAATGAACAACAGTGACCAAAAAAAAAAAAAAAAAATGACAAAAAAAAAAAAAAAAAAAGTAAATAATTTCTGTTGATGGTATTTTCTACCAGTAAATAATTCCTACTAGTCACATGCAATGTCCTGGAACCCATCCTCAAGACACTTTGATGGGATAGCTTATAATGGTATCACAGATAGAAACTGGACTGTAATTGTTCCCTCTATCCTCTAAGAAAATGTCACTGTTTCATACACACACACACACATGCCATTTTATTCATTAAATAACAAAGTGAAACTTAAGACAGCTCACCAAGGCAGACTGGCTTGGAGGAAAGGAAAGGAGCAAGTGGAATAATTTCTCCTGCCTAAAGGGATGTCAGTCTGAGGTGACCACAGAATTAAGTTTTGGAGTAAGATTTGAGATTTGAAAATTGTTGAGTTGTTGTTTCTAGTGGTGTTTAAGGTTTCTTCCATTGGTAAACAATGTGTATGCATCAGTATATTGTCACGCAGCAATGGCTCTGTGACTCTGCTTCTCATTCAGAATAGGTTTTTTTTCTTTTGTCATGGTGAGATGTCCCAGCTTTGGGGAGAAGTATAGCTGCAAGGTATCTTAAAGGAACTTGAGTTGCCACTGCCCAGGTTCTGCTTGAATTAAGAATGTAAATTTTTATGGTTTGGGTCATTTACATGGATTCCTCAGTACGTGAAGGAATTTGGCTTGTGTTTTGGGTTTCAGGGTTCACAAGCACACATGCATACATATATTTAATTCTGGAAGTCTTCTTTCATGCAGATATCTGAGATAAGATTTGACTTCTGTCATATGATGAGAACATCTTTTTCTTTGTTTTACTTTTGCACTGGTGTTAAAACTGGGACTGGTCAATATGAATCAGTATATTAAGTGTCTAACTGTGCATGTGTCATACCCACAGAGAACTCTAAGTGGTGTAAATGTGTTTTACTTGCCTTGCTCCCGTCTTGCAGAGTTCCAAAGTGCTTGCGAAGAAGGAGCTCTCCTACATGCCTATCATTGGCTGGATGTGGTATTTCCTAGAGATAGTCTTCTGCAAGCGTAAGTGGGAGGAGGATCGGAAAACAGTCATGCAGAAGTTGCTGAATCTCCGGGACTACCCTGAAAACTTTTGGGTGAGTAATGACTAACAAATGGAGTGTGAGGTGCTTGAGAGGGATGAAGGCCATAGACAATATGTGGCAGTCGCCAGGTTGCTCCTGGGAGCTTTGATTCATGAGCTTCTTGGCTGTATCAGGAGAGTGTTCTCCAAGAATTGAATTCTCTCTTGAATTTCATCTGTAGTAGTCTGTCTTGTGTGTTTTCTTCCTCTGTATTGTGGAGCCCTACAGATGTTGTTGCAAAAATCCCTCCACTGTGATCCATTCAGTAGACTTTGTGGTCCTTTAAATACAGCAGCTGGAGAGAGGTAGATGCAGGGATTCATGGTGGTGTAACAGATGCATGTGACAATGTATTGAAACACGTATTCTTTACCTAAGCTCTCCTCTCATCTTAGATTACACAGTTCCTACTAGTATTTTCTCCTCCTATTTCCCTGTGGTTCTGCCATTCCTATCCAGAATGCATGTCTGCTAGGTCAGACATGCCCCAGTAGAAGTGGAAGCCACAGATAAGTACCTAGTCAGAGAAGTGGTTCCTGGGGCCATCAGCTGTGTTACAAGGAGAGGATTGGTGTCCCGTTGCAGTAACAGGAAAGTGTTACTTGTTGCATCACCATTATTTTTTAGTATTGAGCTAGTATTTGCTAGTCTGGGAGTGAAAAGCCTTTGTATTTTTTGTTTTCTCAGTAATCAGAAAAAACTTAGTTCTCTTGAGCTGGTGATGGCAAGAGAGGAATTCAGTTAAGGAAATGGTACCTTGAGCAGCCTCACAAGGGCCTGCAGAAACTTGCTTAAGAAGCAGTTTCCTAGTGAAGACGTATATGCAGTGTCTCTCATTCTCTGAAACAAAACTTTTAAAAATTGTTGTTGATTTAAATGAGCACTAAGCCATCAAAACTAAGCTCTATGCTTGGATAATGATTAAATGACTTCCAGGCAGGAGGCTGTCTAGCAAAGGGACATTTCTTGGTTTCTAGTTCAAATCTCCCTCACAGAGATTTGCCTGTGCTCTGTGATTTTTGGAAGGTGTTGAATGCCTTTCTGTACACCTAGGCAGTTCAGGACTAATTGGTGAGCACAAACTGCCACCATCCTTCATATCTTGCTGTAGAGGGGTTGCTAAGAAGGAGCTATACCTGTAGTAAGAGAGATACAGTTGCTGATATATACCTGGGGTTATTGCAGTGTGGAGTTATAATTTGCCCTTGTGTGGTGACATGATGTCAAAAGGCACAGTAGTAGCACCTTGGCAGGTAGAAAGACAGAGCATGCTAAGTAGGCTAGAAGGATTTACTCATCAGTTTCTGTATGTTTCATCTAGCTGTTTAACATTTGCATGTGATATATGAGTAAAAGTGCTCTTAGATGAGCTGGAACTGAAGCTGGCTGCTTGGCTAGTTTTCTTCAGTCCTTCTGTCTTTGTTGGCTAAGTCTTTGCTGTGGGTTATGAGGACCTGGCTTGTGCAATTTGGCAATGCTCTCTGATGTGTTAGTTTGCATTCAGGCTTGGCAGAAAGCAGATGAGCAAGTGGTACATCTCCAAAGATCTGTCTGCTTCTTCCTGTCTGCCAGTGGCAAAATTGTAATTGTTCATGTCTGAGCACTTACACTATAAAGTTCATAAGGGCTTTCAGTTGTCCATCCACTGTCTTACATCTGTTATGAGCTCAGTCACTAGCATCAAAGTTACTGTCTGCAGTTGTCAGTGGTCCTCATGCCATAGTGAAAGCAAGTGGGCTGGAGTGAGAGGAAGCAAGCTGGGCACTGAAGCATTTCCTAGAAATATGTTTGGTTTAGGCACTTGGCAAGTTTTAGATACGATGACACTTGAACACCTCACCATCAGTGAGAGATTTGCAACAGGAGGTATATTTGAGTGTTTTCTAAGATCTCATTAGAGATGGAGTGACTCATTCAGATAAATCAAGTCATTCTGATAGCAAGTAGCAGAGCAGAGGTTAAAGTCTCAAGGCTGGAGCTCAAACCAGAGGATGGCAAGTTGGTTGGGTGGGGGCAATTGAGAGGATTTGTTCTTGGCTTTTTTATGTGTTTTTTGTTCTTGTTTTACTCCAGGGCAATTAGATTACCTAAATGTGCATGTGGCCACACCTGTCTCTGCTAGCAGGGTTCATTTGGGCTGTGTTGGTGGGAATTAGAGGGGCCTCTGATGAGATAGATGTAGAAGACCTGAGCTGCTTTTTAACTGTAGTTCTCTCTTGGTTTTAGTTCCTGATTCATTGCGAGGGGACAAGGTTCACAGAACAGAAGCACCAGATTAGCATGCAGGTAGCTGAAGCCAAAGGCCTGCCCAAGCTCAAGTATCACCTCCTGCCACGAACAAAAGGATTTGCTGTCACCGTGCAGTGTTTGAGAAATGTAGGTAAGGAAAGTCACAAGGAACAATGCTAAATGGTTATTTTGTCTAACTGCTGTCACTTTACCATGTTCTTCTTTTCCCTGAAGCATGTGTCCTAGCAGAAAAACCCTGGGATCCTTTCTAACCTTTCTTCCACTACCTTGCAAAAATTAAAGATTAGGTTTTACTAACAAAGTCCTAGGGCAACTTGGTTATTTTTTAATTTTTTATTTTTTTGTTTCTGTTACTGTGAGTCTGTATCAAGGGATATCACGTTACATGTTTCGAAACTATTGCCAAAGGATAATATTTCTTAGTATTTACTAAGCAATCCTATTCCAAATGAAGCAAATACATCACTAGAGAATCTGAGGCAGCGTGTCTTAAATATCTTCCTGTAAATATCTGCCTCAAATAACACTGTTTTTAAATTAAAAAAAAATCTACTTTAAATTTTGTATAGATGTATTTTAGAGTTTCTTTGTGGAGCTGGGGAAGGGGAGTAGACCACAACTGAAGATACATGTAGGCAAAATTTATAAATAAATTATTTCTACATTACAGAACATGAGTAAGTGTTTCTTTGTTAACGTTATTCTGAACTCCCCACCCCCCAGTTATTTCTGGTTGCTTGCATTTGCCAACTTTTAAGTGCCATCAGTAAGAACATGGCAGACATGCCTTTGAAGTGATTTTCTTTGACTAACATAACCCATCAAAGTCTTCTGCTGTGTACTTTGTGGGCAAAGTAAAGACAGTGCTAAGTAGCCATAGTGCCACAGTATCTTAGGGATTTGGTAGATTTGTGTGTTGTTAGAAGGCCGATGTGTCAGAAAGACAAAGTGGTTAGTGGTTTAGAAGAAAATGTTCTAGCTTGACTGAAGTTAATGTCAAAACTTCTTTTGTCTTTGGAGACATATTTTCATGTGGCATATCTGGGATAGCTGCTGTAAAAAAAGCTTTGCAGTCAGCTGTCTTGCTGTCTGTCATGTTTCTTCTACGTATCCTCTTGCAAGTCAGGTAGATGATATCACTGTTGTAGCTTGCCAGGCATCCACAACTTCCCACCCCCAAAATGGATAGCATAGCTTGGATCTTTCCTGATATGTGCAGAAGAGGTAAGTTATGTGCAGCATCCTGCAGCTCCCTTAAGGGCACAGTTTAACCTTCCCTTTTGAATAAGGGCAACTGTTTTCCTGAGGGCAGGGGCAGGTAGACTTGAAGCATTGAAGAAGGGCTGAGTCAAAACTCTGTGACCTCCAGTGCCCTGAGCTGGGAGTCAGGGACAGGTTATTTTGGTAGTGATTTTGTTCTTTTCACTACTCTGTGTAAAGCAAGCAAAACATGGTATGATTCTGGACAAGTAGCTGATTTGTGGGAAAATGTTTCAAAGCGAAACAATTTTAGTGAACCCGAGTAATGTTTATAAAAACTTCTGGGCATTCGTGTGATACACTACAGTAACACTTCTTAGGATTCTAAATATTATTCTGAAATACTTTCAGAAAAAGAAGACTGAGATTGCTAGATCACTTAAGTACTTAGGGAAGTGTATGTTGCTACCTTAATGCAGAAGCTGCGACTTGCTAGATCAAACAGGGTAAGGCTAATAAAAAAGTAGTATTTCCCTGTGAGGGTTCAAGGAGAAGCACAGAGAGTCATAACTTCTCATAGATAGTTTTTGTTGAAACTGCATAGCTTAAAAACCCAGCCAACAAACTGCTGAGGGAGACAGCTGGTGACCCCAGATCAGTGTTGCATATTCTTCTGGGTATGTTGCTTTACTTGCCTTGTCGCTTTTTGCAAGGAGAGGGAGGTAATAAGAGTTACTGTCTGGCTTACTATATGTTTCTCTACTGTAGAGACAAGAAGTACACGTGAAGAGCATTTGAAAGGCCTTTGTAAACAATGTCTTATTTTTAGAGCTCCTTGTAACATTAATATGTATAGCAAGGTACCAAGGAAGTCCATAAATGTTTTTTGAATAGAGAATGTGATAGAAGTCCATTTTGACAGTCCATAATTGAGAAATATAAATTCTATCTAGAAATTATTCCTTTCTTGCATGAATACTGATGGGATTTGATCATTTATTTCTGTTACCCTGCACTGATATTTTAATAAATTGCTGTTAGGTTGTAGAGTTTGCTACTTGTACTGTTCATAGAAGCAAATGAAAATACAGATCTGTTTCTAAAACACTCATCCATTACTTACAGCAAAAATAAATGTCACAAATATCGCAAAAGATATATTTAACTGTATATCAGGCAGTTCTTTTTATTTTTTTTTTATTTTTAAGACTTGTATTTAAAAATATGCCTCATGATGGATTGTAGATAACTCAAAGTTGTCCATGCTGGGAACTACTGTCCTAGAGGGAATGCATGAGAATAAATTTCTAGGGTGATGTTCTCAGGGAGTTCCAGATGACAGTGTTTGCAGGTTTTCCAGTGACTTTTTTTTCCTATGAGCAGCACTTTAGTCCCAGATTTTTTCAATTTTTAGTGAGGCTCCTGGACATCCTCCTGAGCAGGACACCACGTTTGACAGGATGAGTGCTTTTTTCACCAAGATGACCAGAGCAATGAAATGCTAAATCAAAGGATTGTGTCAATGTGGCTGTCATACCAGCAGTACAATGAATTCCACCATCTCTTCCTTTCCCTTTCCCAGTCTTCACTTCAGATCGTTGTGTACTAGTATAAAGCTGTATGCAGGCATTCTCATTGCCTGTAGGTTGATTTGTTGGATGATCATTCTGGCATAATCCACCATGTCCGCAAAATAATGCATGAAATTCAAAAAGATGGCAGAAGTAAGAAAAATCCTCTCTGGATATGTAATCAGAAGATTTCTGAGGTCAAAATTAAGAAATTAAATTCTTAAGTACATAGTTCTTTGTCAGAATGCTGTACAAAGAACCAAAAGTTAAAGATATAAAAAGAAAACCAGGCAGAGATTAGAAAACAAGACAAAAAAAATAGCCTTTTTTTGTCAGAAAGTAGCAAGTCAGCTGGAAAAAAATTGTTTTCATTTATGATCTGATCTGAGCCTTTCAAAAGGCTTCCAAACACAAAAGGCTTGATTTGTGTTTGTTTCTTTCATGAAAAAGATGTTTTATAACTTCTTTGAGAAAATATTTTATTTCACAATTGAAGCAAAACTTCTCAAGTGCTGCCTGAATTAGTCTGGGAGTGAGACAGTTGCAATGTTTTCAAGATACTGAAGAATTATTTTTTTACTTAGTTTAGAATATGAAATTTCTGGACTCCTCAGCTTTTGGATGAAAAAGTCATGAGATGTCCGGTTCTAATTATGTAATTATGAAATACACATTTATTGAAAAACAAATTCAGCATGTCACGCAGCATGCAAGTGCTGCTTTGGCTGTGGAAATTTTCCATGAAATTTTAATTCTGTTCAGTGTGTTTCTTTGATGCTTCTACGGTTGTTCTTTTCCTTCACTTTCAAAATGGAAAAACTCAAGTCTTCAGTTATTTTATATCTGGGTATAATAGAGGTCTGTTTACTCCTGCATATGCTATCGTTGTCTTGGATTTTGCACTGCTTTGCACCAAAAGATTTCAGTGTGACATTAAAAAGGACTGGACTGAATATCAAACTACAGACCAGTTTCAAACTGGAATGGGATATTTTTCTCTGGAGTGAAGGAAAACTTTCTGTATGGCCAGCAGTACATAAGGATGTTCCTGATCAACTCTGTGGAAATTTTTTCAGAACAGGAGAAGCATCTTCCAATGTGTCTGAACAAGCATCCAGTTGGAATCAAAACTCAAATGTAGACGTCTTCTAAAAGATGAAAGAACAAGTGCTGCGTACATCATACTGTCCTTTATTGAGTCCTTGTTGTCGTTAGAATAATCTCATGCTATTAAAGAATAAACTAAGAAGCTTACCCTGTATAAGCCAAATTGAGCTCTTGTCTTCCTTCAATTACATTGGATTAGTAAATTAGAGTAGATTAGTAAAATCCTTCTACACTAAGAAGCTTAAAAATGGAGGTAGATAATTTATTCAAAAAAGTAATTTCCTACATATATTGTACAGGGAGAGTAGAGTACTTGAGGTAAATTTTGACTTGTGTGTTGTAGATCTGAGTTTGGGCTAAAAACCCAACTGTAGTAGCAAAGGAATTGTTGTTAATGAGGGATAAAGTCTCTATGCAGTGACAGGGTTTTGGCCTCTGTTTTCAGAATTTTCTTGCAGTGCTGTAGGCAGGCTGTTCTGTTCTGCACTATGAATTCTGTTTTGCAATAACAAATGTGGTGAGTTTCTGGGGCTGAATGTTGTCACCAAGCCGTATTCATCTCTCGTAGCTAGAGAGGCTTCAGAAATAAAAGCAAATCTGTTCTGTGTAATAAAAGGCTTTCTTAGGTGGGGTGAGAACTCTCACAATAAAGGCTCATCACAGTGTTCATGTGATGCAAAACTCTAGAGCAGAAAACCTAAAATACAGCTAGCTACACATGAAGTGCATGTTAGTCACTTTTGTGACCAAAAAAAAAAAGTTTTGTTGCTGGCACTGATCTTAGAATTCGTACCACGATGCACAGTTGGTTTCAGTGGCAGGAAAATTACTTGCACTCTGGTAATTTTGTGACATCAGGAAAATGTCTCTAAGGATGTGTTCAAATAAATTATTTTGAAACACTTTATGTGGTTTAAAACAGTGAACACTTTTTCTGTAGAAGCTGCTTGTTAATGCTGTCTTAGTTTAACTACAAACAACCTTTACAAATGCTTTTACCGTTACCATACAGTCCTAAATGGCAGAAACAATGTTTTCTTGAGGCTGAAGGTTTGGTTGCAGTTTTGTTCTGTGGAACTTGGATGTTACATTTCTCACAGCTGCTTGTCTTCATCGCAGCAGCCCAGCTCACACAGGACATGGTCTGTTATTCTGTCTCTGCCTTTGCCCTGCAGCAAGTGCCTCCGTTATCAAATAATGGACATGACAGGGAGATTGTTTTGAACCCCAGCGATTCATAGTTGCATTAAAACCTCCTGCTGTAGCATGTGTCGCAACACACACTTTACCCATTCTTAGTCAAATGGTATATATTCATTGTTTATAAAGTGTATATCTGCCTGGTTATTTACTCAGATTTGGGGAGGGAGTTGTGTCATTTACAGTGAGTTGAGAAAGCTAATAGTTTTTCGGCCATTTGACTCCTAGGATGTCCTAGGTATATTAACTGTCAGAAACCGTAACTGTGTTCCCTACATCCAACATTCTGTACCTGATGGGGAAGGAGACAAGAGTGGAGAGCAAACCCTTCCATTCTACTGGTGCAGTTCCTGAAAGGGTCACTGGTTATCTGGCTTCTTAAAACCTGCATGTTGAGTATTCCATTGTCATATTTACCTTGGTGACAGCTCAAATTATGGCGCTATTGCTGATGACTTCACATTTAAATATTGCTCCTTGTCTGAGAGAATGACTTATTTCCATTCTATTACTACAGTAATCACATAACCTGTTTCTCTCCTTATAGTTTCTGCAGTTTATGATTCTACCCTGAATTTTAGAAATAATGAGAATCCAACATTGCTGGGAGTTCTAAATGGAAAGAAATACCACGCAGATTTATATGTAAGGCAAGTAATCCATATTTTAATTCCTTTTTGGCACACAGAATTGTGTACTTGTAGTCACAATTGCACAAGTAAGGAAATATTTTTAAGTAGGTAATGGATAGAAAATCTCTACCAACCTGGCTTTAGAATTGCAGATAGAAACTCATATGGGATGGGAACGGTTTCTTGCAAAGTTCTTTCAGTAAATGTGAGGACCCTATAAAGCTCTACAGTTTTTTTTCCGTTTGTTCCCATCTGTTTGGTGTAGTTGTTGATGTGTTTGACTGCTGCTCCCTCTGTACTGAGAAGGGAGTTGTTTAATGAAAAAACAGTTACCTGGATTCTGTATCATTAATGTTTCTTTAAGTGATGAACACCCCATTGGCTTCCCATAATCTTAATAAGAATGGGACAATTCCAAGACCCCTATTCCCAGGCCAGGTCCTACCCATGCTGCAGGCACTCGGGGTATGTGGTGGTTTAGGGTTGGAGCATAGAGGCTTAGAAGTGATCCCACAAGTGATCAGGAGTTCATGATAACTCTGTTATAGTTAGAATTGGCTGGTCCACTTGTTTTTATCTTGGGTACCACCAACATGAAGTAGAGTAGGACAACCTTTTCTTCTTACCTCCCCTTTTCTGCATGCTTTTGAAAATATTTTTGTCAATACTGGTTTTGCCCAAGGGTAAAAAAGAAACTTCCTCTTGATTCTTCATGGATGCAACGTGTGTTTGTGTTCCCACTTGGCTCTCATGGGTAGCTCAGCCTAGTGGCCTTGTGTTTGATGTACATGGCCTGGCTGGCTAGTGTCCATGGAGGAGCAGCGGGCCCTACCTGTGTGGACTATTCCTCTAACAATGTGCGTCATGCTGTGTCTTCCTTTACACCCTTCCAGCCCGCTCGAAGTCAGTCTGGCAGAGCGTGGAAATTGGTTTTCATGACTTGGGTTGGCTATTTTCCCTTCTGTCCTTTTGAGCTTTCTGAAATGCTCTTACAGGCAGGGAAGCCTCATGGCAAAATTTATTTTGGCAATTAGTTGAGGACCATCACAGATGTTCTTCAAAATCCTCCCTATTTGCTTATTGAAGTGTTATATGTTGCCCTCAGTAGTATTGTGTAAAATTTGGATGGCTTTGTTTGTCTTTGCTTAAATTTTCTTGAATTCTAATGTTATCATCTTAATGACTTTCTTAAATAAAGGAACAAAACAGTAGTGTTGCATCTCTTAATTTATTAACTACAAACAGGAGTGTCCTGACTGTGAAAAGTGTTCTCTCCTGTGCTGAACGAAGTTAATTTGATGGATATTAATTAAAATATATGCTATATTGATAAATATGAAATTATTAAATATTGATATCTAAATGAAGATGACAAGGAGGGGTTTTTTTATTTTTCTGTCAGAGGATTATTGAACCAAAATTCATGTAATGTGATGAAAATGTTGTTTTGTCAAGAGAGGGTTTTTCAGTGATAGGAGCCATTTTGCTAGAAATTATCCAACCAAGCTGCACATAACAAAAATTATGGGAATTGGAAATGTTACCTGAGAAATACTAGAGTGCTTTACCCTAGATATAAGGAGAATGGTTTGCTTTTTCTCTCTAAACTCTAGCTGATTAAATACAGCCTTGAACACTGTAGGTGAGGTGTGAAATTAATTCAAAACATTTGTTTAGAAACAGAAAATTGCAAACCTTTATCTAGAAAGCAGCTCTAGTGAGCTCAAACATGATGCATTACTATTTCAGAAATCTAAATTTCTGAACTTCAGATACATCTAAGAACTAGAGGTAGCTCTAGAAGCAAACTGTACTGATCTGGGAGCTGTTACCACAAATTAAAAAAAGGTGGAAAATGCAGTGAGCCTCCTTTTGGGTGGATCATCTGTCTGTATAATGTAAGCTGAAGTCTTTAATATTCTTCAATTTCTCTTGTTTACCATTGGCAGGCGGATTCCACTAGAGGAAGTCCCAGAAGATGAGCAGGAGTGTTCTAACTGGCTCCACAAACTGTATCAAGAAAAGGTTGGGTTTTCATCTAGACAGCACTTGCTGGCCACTAGTGGTTGTCTGTTTATACTGCTAGTAAACCTTTACAGTTTGCTTGCGTAGTGGTCCTGCTTTGGGGGCTTGGGGTTGGTTGGTTTGTCTGTTTTTAAGGATAAAAATGCTCTGTTTCTTCAGACACAAACTTGTTTTGTGCTGTCACTCATGATTGCCTTTATTTTGTACTTAAAGACCAACAGGAAGAAAACTTAAGCAAAACTTAATAGAGTAGTTTTAAAACTCTTATTTAGGAAGTTGCATAAGGATCCAAAAAACACAACTATGTCCTGGTTGTTAGAAGGACCTTCCTTCTCTTAAAGGCAACTCCTAAATCAAGAAGTAATTCATGGGATAAATGAGATCTATTTTGCTATAGTGTATGAAAAATTATGTCCCTTGTTTTACCCCCTCTTTCTTACCAAGGCAAAGATCCAACATTAACAGAAAAGACTGATAAATTGCTTTCACATTGTGTGCATAGAAGGCCTGCATTTAAGATTGCTAATTACATGGGATAGGGGCAGAATAATAATGACTGCATGTTTGTAGATACCCACTGATTTTATTTATTTTTTTTTCCCCTCAAGTAATTTCATATGCATCCTTCAGACTTTCAGAGTCTCTTTCTCATGGGTTTTGTTTTTATGAACATAGGAAGTGTTCAAAGCCAGGTTGGATGAGGCTTGAGCAACCTAGTCTAGTGGAAAGTGTCCCTGCTCGTGGCAGGGGGGTTGGAACTAGATGATGTTTAAGGTCCTTTTCAACCCAAACCATTCTATGATTCTGTGATAATGGTTGGGGGATGTGCTCTTTGAATACGCTGCAGCACTCCCATTTCAATCAGTGGGAGTGATAGGTATGCAAGGCATGAGAGCCTGGTAGCTCAGTTTGCTACAATAAATTGATCTAAGTATGTATTCAGACTGGAATACAGCAGTGATTCAGATTTAGAAGTGGTGGAATGTAGCTGAACTCTGGTTTCCTCTCTCTGGGGCACGAAAATTCTGCTGTGCCTGTACAACTAGTACTCTGCCTCAAACACCATGCTAGCATTTCTGTATTAACTATGTTCTAGTCTCCCTCAGCTTCAAACCAGGACTGGTTTTGGTTTAATTCATGGCCTCCCTAAGCAGCTTGCTTACCAGAATGTGAAAAGTAAACATGTGTTGAGACCTCAGTTGTAGCTCTACTAGCTTTGCCTCTGGTCTCCCTTCTTGCAAATTGTGCCACTAACACTTAATTCAGACGCGGCCCCTCACACCTTTCTGCAGAAGGCATTATGTTACCCATGGGCCCGTGCTCTCTCTACAGGCCTATACCTGCAAATGGTCCTTTTGCTGAACATTTCAAAAGTCCACTTTCTGCTCCTGTGACTTCATTTCTAACCCTGTTTCATGTTCCTAAGAACTGTTTAGACATTTGCAAGACAAGAACATAAATCAATGATTGTTTTCCTGAATCCTTTATTACATAGTTTTCAATAATTCACTTCAAGTTTTTTCTGTTACTCGCCTCTTTGCTGAACACTCAGTTATTTCTAGTGCAAATTGTGTGCTTTCTTCATAACAACTTAGTTTGCTGGTTGGTTAAATCCATAGTTTCCTATTTAGGTATAGGAGGAAGGAACTCATGTTCAGTTTTCCTTTCAATTAAAACCTTTTTTGGTTGTGTGGTGTTTTTTTGATTGGTTGGTTTTGGTTTTTGGTTTGGTGGTGGTTTTGGTTTTTTGCCGAAGGTGGCGTGTTTGTCTTCCTTCGGCTGTTTTACATCAGTGAAACTGTTATTTCATTGCAGTCATTCCTGGTTTACACAAGCCCATGTCTCTGTAAAATCAGACTGGGAGAATACAGAGCAGGGACAACTTCTTCAGGAGTTCTGAGATGGTGAAAGCCCACCTGCAGGGTAAAAATGCAATTCTATTTCATCTTTCTGTCATGCATCTTTAAAAAGATAATTGGCTCTTAGGTTGCATAACAAGCAGCATTGCCAGCTAGGTGTTGTTTCCAAAAATGATTTCTGTTTCAGATTGATGTCTTCAGAGTCAGTAAATACGCATGATAAAACGTAACAAATCTGTATTCAAAAGGAAGTAATTAATTGCAAGATATGCACTCATCTGTCCCGCGTTGTCTGTTTTGGTTGTAGCACTCCACTTCCTGTTTCTCAGACAGGGTATGCACGCTACTGAAAAACAGAGCCCCTATTTTATCTTGCATTATTGTTGCATTTTCTGGTGCTTATTCTAGCTGATTTTCATATTTTGCAGTACCTTCTCAAGACTTACGTACTGTGCAATGAATTATGCTCTAGTAGCATGATTTAATAGGTTGGGCATGCCGCAGGCACTGAGGTCAAGGCTGGAGAGCTGTGCACTCATGATAATCAGAGGCCCAAAGCTGTTTGAATGAGTAATGAAATCAGCAGTTAGTGGACATTAAGGGATGTGACTATTGATTTTTTTGGTTTTGGTGTTTGGTTGGGTGTTTTTTTGGTTTTTGGTTTTTAATTGTCATTATTAAAGGAGTGAGAGTCTTTAAGAAAAGTTTGTTCTGTTATTTTTTACCTCATTGCCTGATCCCAGTTACATGTACCTCAATGTGCTCATGGCAGGGGGGTCAGTTACATGTACCTCAATGTGAGATGCTGTTCTCTGAGAATCTGGTGTGGTTTATGTTCTTGCTACTTACCACTTTATTTTCTGGTCTAGCCACTGCTGCAAATGCAAAGAACAGGGCCTTGCCAGATAAACAGTGGCCCTGTGCTGTTCTAAACCAAACACTGTTCTCCTTCCTTTTCCAGGCTTACAGTAACCATCATGTCCACATGCTGCTTCTTCACCTGGGGTGAATTTTAACCTTCCACAGATGGCCAGCACTGTATCAGTTAGTGCCAAATTATGATAGAGGTGCAATTTGGGTTGCACATTGCCTTTTTCTTTTTTTTTTCCTTTTTTTTTTCTGTTTGTTTCTTTTTTAAACTGCCATTGCTAGAAAGACTCCCTTTGACTTTAGCAAGCACCAGGCTGAGCATCTTAGTGCCTGGTCTGAAGAGGTGTTGTATAATAGTCACAACTCTGCTAGCCCTCACATGTTTCTTTTGTTTTTTCATCTCCTTACAGCCTTACTGCCTGAAATAGAAGTTCTGCTTGATAATCTTAATTTCCACTAAAAAGAAAGTTGAGCTTCCAACTCTTCTCACTGTAAGAGAAGCATGGAAAACAGGGCATGAAAATATATGCTGAAATGCCCCAGGGAATTAGCAAAGCATACTGAAGAGGAGAAGTGTACAGAAAACCAGTGTTTGGGAACAAAGGATATATTTTTGGGTATTCATTCTTTGTGGGCTTCCTCATGAAAGGGCGGTGGCATACCTCTGCAGTCAGACCTCCCTGGTTATAGCGGGGAGGAAGAATCCAGTTAGCCTCTTACAAGATGATGGATGTTCCCTGATTTCCTCCCACTGCATTACCCAACTCTGAATGAAGCAACTCAGATTTGGTGAGGTCATTAGAGGGAGCAGTTCTTATGTCCAAATGTGCTACTTGGGTGGGTGGGATTTATTACAAACCGAAAACAAGCTCTGTATGCAGGGGAATGAAAGGAACATAATTTGGTTGAGGTGACTGAGGGAAATTTTGAGGTACATCATGGGTTTAAATGCTGACTCGAGCTGTTGATGGATACCATAGGCACCCTTGCAATAGCTTAGAAGACCTTTCAACCCACAGATCTCTTCTGCAAGGAATGAAAATGTTTTTAAGGGTAAGGAATTGTAACTGAATTGAAGTGCTGTTCCCCACAACAGAGTAAAATGGGTAGTAGAGGTGATGGCATTGACATTGTTTTGGCCATTGTATATTTCTGCCATCTGTCTCAAACCTCTTGGTGAGATGTGGTCAGCGGTTTTGCTGCCCCTGATGCTGTGCAGAGCCAACAAAGAGAAAACTGCTGCAGTAGTTTTAAGTGGATCTGTGTTGCTCTCTGTAGTGATAGGCTCCCTAATGGCGATACAAATAGTAGTGAGAAATTATTAACTTTTCTGGGTAATACCAGTATTCAGAAACCTAATTGTATACAGTAGAATTCAGCTTACTGATGATTAGTAGCTCTGTGTTAAACCAGTCATGAACAAAAATCCTCAAGGCACTGTTAAGAAAACTTCATACATTGTGTAATTTTGTTGAAGATAGCTAATTAATTGGTCATAATGATGCCAGTACAATCTAGCTCACATGCGCAAAACAGTCATAATTTTTTCTAATCTCAATAAAGAGAGTGCAATGCTTTAATTACTGTGTAATCTCTTAAAAGCTAAATGTTCTCTTTGAATTAGATAAAATGGTAGCAGCCTGTAATTGCTTAAGTTGCCATTAAATAATTAAAAATTGTCTGTGTCAGCTGGAGTGTAACTAAATGTAAAATCATAGCATAGTAGAAATAATCTTCTTGTGGTTGATGAGGACAATCTTGTCTTTGCCAGAATTTTTGGAAACTGTTGTGAAGCATTCCTTTCTTTGAAGAAATTTAGCACTTCATTCTGACTAAATTGAGGTTCCTTTTTATGTGAGTCTAATTCTGACTTCATTAATTAACCAGTTTTATGTGATAATACAGGTGAATAATCTTTACTTTTGAACCAGAAGGAAGGATTTTTCTCCCCACCCACCTTGATATCTTAGGGTGATGACATTGCTTGCTAAAGGCAATGCAATTCACCTGTATGTGCTGTAGAGGAAGGTGCTGAGTTCTGTTTTCTGTGCTTTACAAAACACATGGCCAAAAAAAACCCAAAAACCAAAAACAAAACCCAAAAAAACAGACCGTGCCCACCTCATTATGTTCCTCATATTATACTAAAAGGGAGAGTCATTTGGTTAAAAACAGTGAGAGATTCTGAACTGTTTGAATGTTCAGCTGTCTGTGGAGAGGTTCAGCACCTAAGCTTCCTTCTTTAAGCTTCATGGGAACAAGATGAGTAAGGTGGCATCAGTGGGACAACGCGGACCGGAGGGGTGGTGTGCTTTCGAGTATGGGACAAGATGGTGTCTGCTCCCCTTTTCTGACAGGGCTGTGGATGCTGTTTTAGAGCAGTGGTTGGAGAAAATAATAAGGAACAGAGGATCTGCTGCTAGAGTTGTAGCCAGAACACTTCTCTGGCTTACCAGCAGTATTTGTCCAGTGGCTGGGGGTCTT